AGAGAGAGAGAGAGAGAGAGAGAGAGAGAGAGAGAGAGAGAGGAAAGGGAGAGAGAGATGTCCTTAACTGGGGAACGACGGAAGACGGAAGAGAAGATGGATATCGGGCACGAAAGTGAGACAGGAAAAGGTGCGTGCGCCGCAACAGGTTACACAGGGACGACAACGATTTTGGGGAGGAGAATTGGTTCTACTTTCGTTTCAACGATGCTTACTGCGACGATATATCTTAATATAAATTAATAGCGTTGAATAGATATGTTAATTATTATTCGTTTACACTCAGATAACGTGTGATAGCATTGTGCCTAAAAAAAGATTTCTTCCCATAATTATCTTGAAATATATCAATAATAAAGTTTTGTTTTTTTTTTTTTTAATTGTATATGTACCTGTGTTTACTAACAATAAGTTGGTAAGATTAGAAAGGAAATAACAACGAAAAAAAATTGTCAATTTACAATATTTCCCTGAATTTTTGCAAAAAGATCGATCGGCGTGCGGCAAATAACGAATATTTAATTGTAAACATTCAATGACAAACATTGAATAAAAAACAAAAGAAAATTTAATATAAGCGTTACATTGCGGGTTCTCGAAAGTCATCGTACAAATTCCACATTTATTTAAAAATTAGAATCTTCATATTTTTCAACAACAAATTATTCTCTCTTCTGTTAAATTAGATTCCTGTTTAAATAAAGTCTTCAAATTTTAGTTCACGGTTTACTTAACGATTAGCAAAGATCTTCTATAGCTCAATTTGCTAAGAAGTTCTCAAATAATAATTCTGTAACCATTAACGTCTAGACATATTAACCAGACATATTAACAGTTAAATTTATTTTACCAATGAGAATTAAAGTTTAAAGTAAACAATACTTTTTAATTAAATTTACAAAAGATGGGACTCGGAAGAACTGTGCAACTCTTATACACAGTACACGGACCATACATCCGCTCTTGAACTGTAAAATCGTTTTACCCTCGTTCTATCGTATAAGGATTCGTTAGACGAGGACGATCTATATTATGAATCATACTTCAATCAGAACACACTATCTAATAAAATTTTTAATCTGTTATACTCTCTCTCTCTCTCTCTCTCTCTCTCCCTCTCTTTCCGCCGATGTATATTTCAACCTCTTTGCGATCATGACAATGGATATAAGCAAGTAGGCATGCAAACTACGTTATTGATTGTAGACGAGTGAGTTGTTTTTCTTGAACTATTTTTCTCACAAATGCAGTGACATTTGAACGACAAATTTATATTACTACTTTATTGATTTAAATAACATCACGTTTATTAAATAAACGGTGTTCATTTAGAGATTTCTTTCTTTTATAAAAATTCGCTCATTAACGAAACGTTATCTTTGTAACTGCACAATATGTAACAATTTGTTTGCTTCTAACAAAATGAGATTGCTATAATGATGGCAATATTTAAATTTAAGAATACTTAAGTCTCGGAAAAACTATAATAATTTCGCGTCTTCAATATAACGGAGTATACGGTACATTAACCTAATTACAGTATACCTTCAATACACTTTGCATATAATAGAAGTTTACAATTTTCCAAATTGATTTGACCAGGATATTAGACAATGAAACATTTTGTTCATTTTTATGCAAAAATAAACCAAACGAATTTAAATTTAATGCTCTCAACAACTTTTTTAAGAATTGAAAAAAATTAATGTATGTATGTAGATTTATATTTTCTTTACTTAGAATTTAATATCCTCCAAGTTTTAAAAATTTATGAAACAATTGAATATACCATATATTTCGAAATTAAATACAAGTTCACAAGTTAAACTTGTATTTAATTTCTCGAGAGAGAGAGAGAGAGAGAGAGAGAGAGAGAGAGAGAGAGAGAGAGAGACTTAAATAGAATAATTCATTATTTATAATAAATACCATATTATGTATTATTATTTATTATATACTCAAGTTTATCATATATGTATACACCAGAACTTAGCAGTAATTTATAACTGCAGGTAAAATATGAAACTGTGTCGGTAAGACGTTTCTGTTAGCCAAAGGTCGATAAGGATAGAACTTTACTATGTTTGATCCTGTACAACAGGATAACGTTTTATATGTTGCCTTATGTCGACAAGGACGACAAGATGACTCGCACATATCCAAAGGATACTATAATATAACATATAAAAAATATATATATCTATATATAACAAGAATATATGCAACACCATATATTAATTTTTTCAGTAAAATAAAAATAAAAATTTTATTAAATATCCAATTGTATCTGTAGGATAATTTTGATAAATTTAATATTTAATATATCTACGTATAAAAAAAAAATTAGTCATTTATTTGAGCTTAATTAATGGATTTTAGTAACTGTTATTTATCAAAAAGAATTTAGGTAATACATTTCTGTTTTCACGGTTTTGTTAAGTATATATATATATGTCAGGAAGAAATAATCTTCTTAGGTATACGGGTATACGGAAACAGATACGACGTAAACAGTGCTGATGTAATGCTGAAGTTTAACTTGATTGATGTGATCTATATTTTTTTAGTATACTTTTCGCGAAACTCAAGCTGTAGATACAAACAGGCAAAATGTAAAAGCAATCAGTTAGGGCAAACAAAGACAATTATGTATTACATACATTTATGCAAAAATTAATCAAGGAAATATCAAGAGACACGGCAGTGTCTCGCGCCAAGTATACGCGCGGAGCGAGACGCATCGTGACTCCTTTACGCGAACGCACGATATAATTCTCACCATCATAAATGTGCAGATAATGTCATAAACAAAATGAGGATGGGATTAATAAATTTGTTATCTTGCTTATCGTGTCTCCACGTATACATAATCATAAAGAGCTTTCTATACCGAACAAGAACGTTGAATCTATAAGAATTTCGATCGATACAACGCTGCAGCGTTGGAGTTACGTAAACGTAACCATTATATTATTTTCCGACGGATATTATTTTCAGAAATATGGCTTGCGACACATTACGATAGATAGGTGGATTTAGTTAATATAAAGAAATATTTATATTTGTATAATATCTGTGCCTTTAATTCTACCTTTAATACATAATTTATAATTTATTCATTGACACTGTCAAAAATACCAAAGAAACAATTCATTATTGAAGATGGTGATATTATAACTGATGAAATCCTATTCTTTTAATATGCTGCTAAGTTCTGGCGTATGTATAATAAACTTGATTATATAATAAATAACAATACATAATATAGTATTTATTATAAATAATAAATTATTCTGTTTGAGTCTCTTTCTCTCTCGAAATTACCGACAAATGCTTGCAATAACGGATAGATCAATAATAATTGTTAGCAAACACAAAAGCGACAATATGTGCCAGTACATATTAAAAATGCATTCTTAAATTTCAAACAAATCAATAAAAGATATTTTTAAGTGACTTATTAATATTTATCTTATAAAAAATTTGCAGCTTGAAATTGTTATATTTTATTTAATAAATATGTTAATAATTTTCGGTAAATGATAGATAAGAAGATATAGAACGAGCATGATAAATGAGTCAAAGATAAAAATATATAGATGGAAAAGAGTTGCGTAATCGAGTGACAATAATGTTCATCCTTTGATATTCAAATCATAGCGCCTTTATTGAACATTGTGTGCAATTTCTTATTATTTCTTTCACGTTGTTGAAAAAATTGTAATTGCTTTAGTAATTGTAATAGAATACAAAAAAATAATAGACAAAGAAAGAATATCTAATGAAATTTGGAGTTACATAAATAACATAAAAGGTTACGTTTTTTTAGTAACGTAAAAAGAAGAATCATAATGGATGACTGTTATCAGCCATTATCATACGTGGTTAATCAATAGCGAACAAATGACTAACTACTAACCCCGGTTTGTACAGCGTAGTAATTTTTTTGCGGCTTCCTCCAGCAGTCGAGCACTTGTGACGTCGACGCTGCGTGGCAGTGATGATGATGAGGCTGATCGTTGTTGTTGCTCCTAATATTTGGTGGATCCGGCCATCGATCCAGATTGCTCCAATTCCATTTCCCCTTTCGCTTCACGGCATAGTAACGATAAACTACGATCGTCATGGCCACCACTAAGGCTAATCCCGTGCCAGCAGCTGCTCCGAATATTGCGGATGAAACCATCATTCTTCTTTCGTATTATGTGAGATGGAGTATTCGTTGCTTAATCTATAAATTAAATACGTGTCAGTGTTTCGTCGAAAAATCTGAATCTGACAATTGTCTATATTATATCGCGTAAGTATTTAAAAATCTTTTAATTTTTTACACGTCTTTTATTAAAAGCCTTTAAATGTGTTTGTTTTAAATTTTTGTTTTTTTTTTGTTTCACAAAACATCCGTTGTTTTGCTCATAATCTAGAGAAAATTATATGTGTATTGTGTGCAACATGAAAACTTAATTCTTTTGGAATTTTTTAAGTTATTTTAATCTTGTAAAATATCATCGCACATAAAATACACATAAAAAATTATATTTCATTAAATTAATTTATTTTTAATGAATTATAAAATGAAATGCTTTTAGCAGACAAGATAAAACGATAACCGTGTTAACCACAGTGGATGGTTTGTATATGAAACTCATCGTGTCAAACAATTAAATTTATTGACTCCTCTTAAATAAATTAACTGTACGCTGGTAATCAAATATTGATAGATAAAGACCAGAGGATAGAAAGAAATAAATAATGTTTATTGGAACAAATTACACTGGCTAATCCGCAGCGGTTAATTGAACTACGGTTTTAATTAGAAATGATCGATAATGGCGTTGCCATGAGCCGTGAGTAAAATTGATGATTGATAACTGTATAGTTTAATTGAGGTCAGAAATCGAATTAACTCTAAATCGAAAAGGCAAAAATTATAGAAACAGGAAGAACGTGACACGAACTGAACTGTTAAAACTACTTGCAGTCACGATCAAAGTTCGCATTTAAATATCAAGGTACGAATTTATCTTGATCAAGATACTCACACTGCAATTGCAACGTGTTCTTTGTTTATCAGACATATCCCATACAAAAGTATCTTATTGCAATTAGCACATGTGTAGGTAATGAATTACTTCCTAGCTCTGTACCATAACTCTCGTCCTATCTATTCCTTAACAGAGTTTCACAATTCACACTTTACAACTACATAGAAAATTGTAAACTTTACCCATTTTTGTAGGAAATATGAATAATTATATGAATAAATATTTAATTTGTACAAGTCATTTAATACAAGGAGATTTGTAGTTATAATCGTATGCGTTATAACGATAGCTCATTGATTCATCTCATTGTCTTACTTCGTGAAAATAATAAAACCATTCAATTTGTTTTGAACATACCAAAACTCACGCAACAAGAGATTTCCGAAAATTTAAATATTCTCGCGCGACACATCTCTCTGCATTTTTCGTGATTTCTCCAATTTTTTAACTTCGATAACGTGTAATGGATTCCTCTGCGAGAAATATTCCTAAGGGGAATAACGTGACGTGATGTGTGCACCGAACAGAATATTTTTTTTATTAAACGTACGTTGGCTGACCTTTTAGGTCACAGATTGCTCGAGGGTTGCAGACGTACAGTGATTGATCGTTAATTATATATTTTATCGCCATAAATACGCGTGTAATATGCAAAATATATCTTAGGCAATTCTGTTCTCCCGATGTATGTTTTACGCTTACGGGCATAATTTCGAACTTCGGATTTTGTCTGAAAATTGGCCGACTATGCAACACATTAGATGAGTTTATAGCCGTAGATGCGCGTGAACGTAATCGCATCAAATGTACCCTACTCCCTACTCCATTAGAAACTCGCAAAATTTAATAATGTGATCATGAATGAAGCTTGTTTTAGAATTTGTGGTTTGCTCATGTCTCGCTTCATGTTAATGCGTAAACGGGGTACGCGAGAATCTATGAATATTTTATCAAACTATGTCACAAGTATTTAGAAAGTCAATATACAAACTTATAGCGTGGTCACGATTCTTAGAATCTCTTTAAGCAAATATATGCCGTCTCAAGCCTATTTCAAAAGAAGGAAAAAATTTCTTTGTCGCAGTTACACTAATCCAATCAGCAATTATAATGTAATTTAAAACACACACACACACACACATTTAGCGAATCGCAAGAATTCTTTTTTAAAAAGAAAGAAAAATACGATTTTAGACTCATAATAGTTCATACTTAATTTAAAAAATTCGAAATTAATGACAAAATAATTTTAGTCGTTGCTTTTATCGACGAAAAATAATCCCACATAATTTCATTAGCTTTAAGTAATATTTTTCTTTTGGTAAATCTAAACAATATTTAATGCAATGTTCATATTTTTTTTTTTTTAATTTACTCGGATTTTGTAGCGCCTTGACAACAGATACGTAGGCGTGAGTGGCACATTGTGGACTGCGATTCTTGAATAATAATGAGTGAGTTTCTGAGTAAACAGCAACATCGTATCAAGCCGGATACCGTGAAACGCAAATTACGACTGTCTCGGATTATCCGACGACAAGGGTGAAAATGGTGCAGTCACGTACCTCGACTTTGGAAATTTTAAATTTTAGAACAGTCTCTTTGCAATTTAAATTCCTGTCACGAGTTATACGATAACCAAAAGCTGTTTTGTGTGAAGCAATTAGTAGACTGCAAAAAAGTATATAAAAACCTTTCTTATATTATACAAATAGCAAATAATACGAATCACTTTTCTAAATTGTTTAAAAACCTATTTTCCAAGAAGATATATAATATTCTCATTTAAATTATTATAGTAGATAGTGGAACTCTCATTATCTAAATCACATTAAAAAAGATAACAGATTGCAAACTATTGTAATGTTAACAATAGTAAACCAGCGCATAAACGCCATGATCAAACCATGTATTTTACATAGAAGAGCCACAGATGAAAATATTGATTTGTGCGACTTTGCGAGAAAGTCACAAACAGAGGACGCCAGAATTTGTTACAATAATATTTCGCGAAGTGACTGTCAGATACGCAGTGACACAGACCTTATCCTTCTCAGCAGACAGAAAAATAAAAAGGCACAATTTTTCTTCCACATTGTATTATATTTCCAATCTGTTTTTAAGATTTATATGGAAGATGCGTGAATTCTCCGATTTTATGATTTTAAGATAAATTATATTAAAATGCATGAAATAAAGAAATACGTATTATATAAAAAATTACATTTATTTTAAGTAAACAGATAAAGACTAAAAATTTAATAATTTGATATTTTATATTTTATACTGCTATATAATTTAGAAATACGAGACGTATAAGTAAATTACGTTGCCCGATGCAAAAATACAAACAAAACAAATCAAGAATTAAATTGAAAAAAATAACGTTTCTTCTCGTGGTCTGTCATCATGATGTAGCAATGACATACTCGGGATTTAACCAGGGGAAAAAGTGAACATTTGCATGGCAGAAAACTAGCAGCCATGCATACAGCAGTACGATTTTATGGCCTTTCGCCTTTCCACGCGAGTAAGACAAATGGCTCTTTAAATTACTATACAAGAGATGTAATAGATTCCTTCAGGAATTTACACACAAGACGTTGCGTTACGATTAATGGATATTCACAGCATTAACATGACAATACATCGGATATAATCGGATTTTGTTAATGTTCTTTACTTTGGTTCTCATGCGGGAATATCCGAGGATATGTACCGAAAGGACGCATTGTAGCATTGAGGGATTGATGCCATTGTATGAAATGTGCGCGCGTGTACACGTGATGCGATGAAATACTGTGTTAGGGAATGCCGCGGCGAAATTACGGCTTCATGACCCCGATTGCGATGCTAATATAACTTATTTTTAATGATCTTCTTAAAAGAAATACTTAAACAATTTCCATACATTTCACAACGTTCATAACCCGAAATCTTTATACTTTGACGTGGTTCAAATTGACCTGGGTTCTCTTGAATGCTAGACTAAAATAATTGATATTCTAGGGCAACTTCGTAACGAACCTAAGTGTCTCTAGGTAAATTGTTAAGTATAATTATCGTGTTAAAATCCGCTTGAGAAAGCATCGCGACCTTAATGACACGATTTCAATGAAAAGATGGGAATAATACGTAATATGTCTGACATGACAGATATTTATGCTAATAGGATTAATTATCGTCTACAGATTTTCTCGTAATTATACATAATGAAGAGCTTGATTTTTTATTTTATTTATTTGGTTATTAAATACTCTTTACGTTAGAACAAAATCCTTATAATAGCGTATAAAATATATTCAGATATGTAAAATAAATATGAAAATTATAAATTATTTTTCAAAGATTTAATAATTACACTAACATTGTGAAAAATGTAGAATTTTATATTAATTGATACCTTCTATCTATTCTGAATAAATTATTGCAACCGGATGCTTTTATGCATCTTTTATAATATCGTGCATTGTACTCTTTCTAGACATTATAGACTGATCGATTATCCGATCTAATAACTGCGCGACATTTCTGCATATTGTACCGTTATTGTCATCCGGATATAAAATATTAATCACTTGTGCAGCAGCTTGTTGATTAATATATTGTTGATTAATATCTTACAATTATTTATTAAAATTTGTTCTAATCTCGATACATTGCGAAATTTTTCGCAACGTAATCACGTTATCAAAATCTCGACTCGGCTAATCTTTCAACAAATTGGTAACGGGTAACGATCGATCCGCAATTTGACTGCGTTATTGGCTCATACGACTATATCGCATTGTTTTAAAATTTAACTGCAAAGCTGCAAAACTGTGATTTAACTGAGAAATTATAGAATTTAATAAAATAATATTTCTCCTCTGCTAATATAATCAAATAACACGAAAACATCTAATAATTTATTAAAAACAAAGTTGTATATATATTTATTACAATATGTAGAATTTTAAAACGTATTATTAAATTGTTCTTATATTATATCATTTTTTTCAAACTAGTACAATATATTAATTTATTTTATATTTTATATATAGATGTATAAAGTTTTTGTATATCAATCTAAAGAAAATTTCAAAAATAAAAATATTATAACATTAAAATTGTGTAAATATGTTACAATGGATTAATAATGTATAGATATTAGTGTGACTATATTTTCTTACCTTCGTGTAGAATGTGAAATTCAGCAGTAAACAAGACTATGGGCAACTCGCCAAAAATGATAAGTAAAGAAGTTTTCAGTAGAAGTAAATAATTTAGTCCGACCGTTCAGTAGACGTATCGGCAATTTGGTCAGTCCGGCTGCTAACGCAATTGAACACTTGAATTATTATAGCTTTTACATTTCAATACTGTCTGCAAAATATTGATTACAATTTTTATCGTTTCTGTAGCAATCTTAATTTAACTTGACGCAATTAAAACGATTATTCCATCGTTAATCATGATAAACACGTCAATAACAATGCAAAATGTAATTATCGAGATCAGAAAAATTTGCTAATGTTATTTATGTATTTTATTTTTAAAATTGATAATGTCAACTTATATGGTTGTTGCTTGTTTCACGGCGCGTCAACGACTGAACTGAACCTTCCTCTCCCTAACGGGGTAACGGGTTTAGCTGTTGGGAAGATAGAGGGTGTGAGATGGAGGGAGGGAAGGGAGAAATATCGGAGGGCAAAGGATGAGAGAGATAGGGAGGGAAGGAGAAGGGGAATGGAAAAAATAAAGTAAGATAGATGGAAAAGGAGGAATCAGATAGAGATAGAAAGCTTGAGATAGAAAGCTAAGGTTGACACGGTGAGGTCAGAGGGAGAACAACCAACAGGAGAGAAAGGAAAAGGGACAGAGAGATAAAATGAAAAGAAAACAAGACAAGAAAATACATACAATGCTGATCGCAAACGAGAGATACAAAAGATAAAAAGGAGAAATAGGAAAGAAGAATAAGGAACGTGGGAAGAAGCATATGAGGTATGTACATGTCAGAGAGAAAAAAATTGTCAGGACGTCAGGTGGCAGTCCACCCACATATCTCGCTGATATTCAGTTTTATCAGAAGAGACTTATCAGCCGGTGAAGCATTTTATCAGTAACAGTCAACAATCATATAAGCTCTGTCTTTTGTCGACGTATGTACATACTACGACGTACATAATATAGATTGTCCCTTCGACCAAATGTGCGAAAAAAATATTGAAATCCTACAGCTTATTTTTAACAATAATAATGATTAAATCACCTCGACCGGCTTGATCTCCTCCGCCCCGCTCACCATCACGTTGCACGTTCTCGCGCATCGTCTCCATCAGTCTCCGTCATCCGTCATCCGTACTTCGTCTCCGTACTCCGCGTCCTCCGCCTCATCCCCCGGCCCGGTTAGCGCGATGTGTGTCTATTTATATACTTTTGACTTCGACTCTTACCATACATATGCAATAAGATGCGCGTACATTGAGCTTGTACGAAAAAGTTTTGTTTATATTATAATTTTGGCAGAACAATATCGAAGTATACATTAAATTTAGCAAACTTATCAAAATAAATTTTCATGGTGTTGTATTTATCGCATAGCACAACATATAAAGTAAATTTAGCACATTTTTTATTATGATTTGTACATTTGTATATCGTATCATAACAAATAACATCAGACTTTTGCATACAACCATCTTTTCTAAGTGACAATGTGTTTTGTATAAGTTATTAAAGCAAAATCTACATCCTACATTTATAAGAATTTTGAACTAATATTTTTCGTTAATTTATCTGTTTCTACGATATCGACAAACTTTTTTGAGCCCTTCTGCTGAACAGAAAGAGTTACGCTTGCTCCACTTTCATGCCACTTTGCTTTTAACAATACACAGCATCCTTTACCTGTCAACAAATTATCGTTAGAGAAAATTATGCGATATTTAAGTTAGAAGAGAAAGAAAGAAAAAAGTAGGTACCAAGTTCCCCCCGTTCATGAGCTGCCGCTAATTGGTTAACAACACGTCTTTCCACTTCATACTTGATGGAACGAGCACCGTAATGGACATCATACCCATCCGTTAATACCGACAAAACTTCTCTGTCCCATTTTAATTCGATCATGTGTCTTTCTTTTGCACGTGTAGCCCATGCTTTCAATTCTCTGGCGACTAATTCTATCAATTCTGCCCGAGAAAATGGTAAAAAATATACAATTTCATTTATTCTTCCCAAAAACTCATCTCTTCGAAAATGTTCTTTCAGTATTGGACGTACCTGCAAGATGATTTTATTATATCATTTTCTACATGTTCTAAAATATCTCTTATTTTCATTTTACATACCACTTGATCCTTAAAATTACGAGATATCTCAATACGTTCTGGTTCTTGATCTTCGTCGACAGTATTGACTAATCTATGGTTTAATAGCCTTTCAGCTTCTGCTCTTAGTTGCATTGCATGTTCTGCAATTTCTTCGCTTCCTAAATTCGATGTCATTATAAAAATAGCATTTTTACACTCGATTGTTTTTCCTTTACCGTCAGTTAATCTACCCTTAAAAAATTAATATCACATTATTAAGGAATCCCGTATAACATAAACAAATGATTTAAACGATAAATAGCTACCTCATCGAAAAGCTGTAGCAAAACAGTTAAAACATCAGGATGAGCTTTGTCAACCTCATCAAATAATACAACAGCGGAAGGACATTTTTTCAAAAGTTTTGTCAGTTGTCCACCATCGTCGTGTCCCACGTATCTAAAGACAAGTTTAACAGTTTATTGCCATTATTATATTCAATTTTAAATGCGATGTACCAATTTAAAACATATAAAAACAGACTAAACTAAAATAAAAATAATAAAAATAAAAGAAAAATTATACCCTGGTGGTGCTCCAATTAATTTTGCAACTTCATGTTTCCCTTGATATTCAGACATATCCAATCGAATAAAACTATCTGGTTTATTCCTGTGAATATAAGCAGCCAATTGCTTGGCTAATTCTGTTTTGCCAATGCCTGACGAACCCAAGAAGAGAAATACTAGTGGATGCTCTTCATCTATCCAACCATTTTCTTTCCTTCTGATAGCTAATTAAGTAATATAATAATTTGCAAACGTATCTTTTGATAAATTATTTTTTGATAAAAATATATGGCAAAATTACAACTTACTAGAAGCAACAATGGAAATAGGTCCCTCCTGTCCTACAATATTTTGCTTCAAACGTTGTTCCAACGGAAATCTACGACGTTCCTCTGCTTCCTAAGCAGAAAATTTTTGTTTATATATAATATGTGAACTATTTGGTTTTTACATAATTTTATACATGAAACATTTGTGTAAAGAAAAATAGTTTTAGTACATATATATATATATACACACACACCCACCTTTTCTTTTGCTATTTCATCATATTTAATAGCATGTTTGACTAGCATCTCTTTGATTTCTCCTTCCTTAGCATATTCAACCGCTCGATGTCCCGCTTCATTTTCTATAGTTGGATTCGCTCCTCCATCTAATAATGCTTTCACACAACTTTTCGAATCGGCTAACACAGCATAGTGTAATGCTGTAAATCCTTGGAAAGTAGCTCGATTATTTAATCGATCAGAAAATTCCTCTTCCCTCTTTGTAAGAACTAAAATATCCAAATTAAAATCAATCACTAAGTGTCATCAATGTATTTTTTATCGAATGATTCACATTTAATATTCTTTAATATCTATAAGAGATTATGCCCCTTGCGTTTGTTACATCTTTTTAATATTAATGACAGTATTTATATATATAAAAAAAAAATTAATACCATCCAAAGAATGTAAGCCCTTTTCCATGGCAGTTCTATATACATTAACAAAGTTATCTCCTGCATTTACATCAGCGCCATTGTCCAACAGAATTTTTATAATTTCTTCTCTTTGATTTATAGCAGCAGTTTGCAGTGCTGTCCAACCCAATGGATGTCTGGTATTTACATCAATACCATCTGCTATAGACTAAAACATGCAGTGTTGTCACATATATATATATTTCTTTTTTATATTATATTAAAGGTTGTGGTAAAATTACAATTGTGAATTACTTTCCTTAGCCCAGATAGCAGAGTACGTCAAATGAGTACGTCACTTTGACACTGCATTATTACGCCACTTGACGCCACTCTGCTACCTGGGAGAAGACTAGGACTATGTCAGATAGAGTCTGAATATATTATTGAAAAACTTACTCTTTTTAATTCTGATATATTACCATACTGAACAGCACGAAACAATCTCTTCTCTGCAAAGATCATTAAGAATTATCTTTATTCATGTGTAATCATTATATATATATATACACATATATATGTATATGCTCATAATCACAGTGTGTACATACCTTTAAAATGTGAAGTGTCACAAAAAGCCACTACAAGCCCAAGACTGCCCAAGAGCACTCCAAGATGTTTATAACGTCTCCTACCACATTTATCGCCATTGTCACTGTACTTTTCTTTCGTAGTTGCCGAAATTGCAGGGAAATTAAAAACAATTCTATCCAATAATCCACACGATGGATAGAGTCGAGATATCAGTAGCGTGGAACGCTGGGCATAACCTCTCTGACAGTTCCAGCACGTAGCGTCATTCGAGCGATCAAAACCGCCTTTAAAACGCATTCGATTCAACAGTGCCTTCGGCGTTCCAGTATTTTTTATCAGGGGGCATAATTTTGAAATACACAGTCGTGACATGTCGGTCCGTTGATTTTCCACCGAATTTACGATCACGCGTCGATCGTCCGAGACGACCGAGACTGCTCGAAATCATCGAGACGCGCTTTGAAATTGAAAAGCTGATGACTTATGACGCCAAGCCGCCACAGGCCCCTGGCCAAAAGCCTCATCAAGCATCAAGCGTCAACAATCGTGGTACCCTGGGTACCTTTTCTTTCTCTTTTGTATTACTGCGAATTGATTTCTATTTTTACAGGCAGTCGTTTACTATTACTGCAGCACAAAGTCAAACATTTTTTAATTTTAATTTAATTGTTATTTATTTATTTATTTTTAATTCGCATCAACGTAATTAACCGAGCCGATCAATAATTTTGTCATGACGATCATGAATTTATATATCTATAAGCGAAATATTGTTGATCGTCCTATTGAGAATATTACGTGATTCGAGATACTCAGACTATAACAAAAGACACAGAGCAGAGATGATTAAATGCCGCATAATTTCTATGAATTCTCAATTTTTTATGTTATATAATAAGTATATGTATGACGAAATTGACGAAAAACATGTCGTCAAATATTTTGGTATTTTCCTTTTTTTGTCTCACGAGGTCACGCAGAGCTTAGCTCTTTCGTCTGATATATATATATAGTCTTGGACAATTAAAAGTTTATCACTTTATTAAACAGAGGTTTCTTTTGCTTTACGATAATTCTCTTAAAAAAAAGATGCGATTATTAATACGCGTAAATTAGAATAGGTATAGCTATACTGAAAATGCGATTTTCAAAAACGATTGTTTGACGCTCGAACATTTTTATCGGGCCGGGCCATATTGCGCGATCTCGAATCCTTGAGAATCCTTCGAAAGTTACGAAATTATCCGCTCCTTGCGTCAAATTCGAGTAATCGTATTTGGTATCGCGAGTCGCGAGTCGCGAGTCGCGCGAGCGAACAATCGCGTGACTCGACAAATTTTGTATTTCTGTCTAACTAGACTAGTTATAATGTAGTCGCTGACTGCCCGTTATCAGTTATCTGGTTATCCGCTGCTGCGGCGAACATATTGGCATTATTGTAGGCGGTCAACTGCCAACAAGGCCAAGTAGGCGAAAAAGCACGGCTTTTTCGACTTTTTCGAGAATTTTCGAGGAGGAAATGTAGCATCCTGACGGCCTGACGGTCGGTAAAGTCGACCAATCTCGATCGCGGGTTTTCACGTTTCCAGAATATTCCATAGCTGTCCATAGCTTCCATAGCGGGTGGTGCGCCAATCGGCGCGTGCCACAGCGCTGCCATGATTGGTCAGTTTTAAAGCGGAACTAGCAGAAGGCAGTGCGGCGCGTGCGTCAGCGTAGCGTGCGTTGTGCGCGCGTGTGCGGTGCGAGGTGTGACGACTGTGACGGTGTTCGGGTCGGTCAGTTTGGTGTTGGTGTGTGCCGTGTGTGGTGCTGTGGTCCGTGGTGTGAGTACCGAGCTAACCGAGCAACATTTCTTTCGGAGCATCGTGCGCGAGCGTATCTGTTGGATCTTGTTGGCCGTTATCGTGCCGAATCGCGACTGTGGGAGAGTCCGAGTCCTTCAGTCGTGGTAATTCTCTTAATTGAGAATCGCATCGAGTCGATACCGGTGGCTCAACTCCTGAATCCCTGATTCTCGAATCTCGGCGCAAGCGAGGAGCTGAGATCAGTGAGGTCTGAGGACGCGCGAGCACCTGACGAGAATCAAGCGAGTGCCAGAGCCGGAGCCTTCTCGTGTCAGTCCGGTCAGTCGTGTCACCGAGGCCGGAGGCCGAAGGCGAGGAAGTGTCGATTGTCGATTCGCTGCCGAAACTGCCCAACAGCCATGGCTGCGATGTCCGTGATCGGGATCGACTTTGGAAACGAGAGCTGTTACGTGGCTGTGGCCCGCGCGGGTGGCATCGAGACTATAGCCAACGACTACAGTCTTCGCAGTACTCCGTAAGTACTCGCCGTCGCGCGATCCTCCTTTTAATCGCGACTCGCGTTCGCCGTTCGCCGTTCGCCGAGGATACCGGTACCGGGTACCGGGTACCGCCACCGCGCCGCGTGCCGGTCGCGCGTGGCCTTCGCTTGTCGCTTCGCTTGTCGCTTGTCGTTTCGCCAGTCGCCTTGCTTGCAATCTCATGCGCTGCGACATGACCACTTTTCAGATTTACAATTAGTTTAGATTATCGCTTTACTTGTAGTTTAAAATCTATATCTTGAGACCGCTATCGAGTTTCGATTATCTCCAAAAGACATTACGACGCGGACGCTCGAATAAATTGGCAATAACTTTTTTTTACACGTCGGGCAACGTTTAGTCCAACTTTAAAACTATCATTTTCTAATTTCGTGTACGACGAGATAAAATAGACCGATAAAATATTCCAATTCCAATAGATAATATGGAGCAGGCAAATGGAAACTCGCAGGTGATAATTTCGCGCGCGCGCGCGCTCGCGCGGATTATCGTACTTTCGAGAACGTCGATCGCGTTACCATTTACAGGCATCTTGTTACCAAAACCAGGCTGTCACCCTCGCGCTCATGTGTTTTCGGAGTATCCCAAAAAATCCGCCTCTCCACTCGCGCGAAGGGTTTCCTTGCTTTCTTATTGTCAGTGCGCTTATATTTATCCTCCGTAGCCGCTGACGGCCGTCGGCCGACGACGCCGCGCCGGTTCTTTCTTTAGCGATTAATCTCATCTTTTTACTTATTATTATACTAACTTTTATTATTATTGTAGATTGTAGCGCTTATACGCGCTTCTCTTGTTCATTTATATAATTTATACATCACTTATGCGTCACAAGTCACAAGTTGCATTGCTTGTATGTACATATATTGTTTATGTTGATAAGAATAAAAAATTAATCTTCAATACTTGATTTTATATTTGTCAAATGTCAAATTTAATATATCAAATTCGTTTATTTTGTTTGTATTATTTATAGTTTATACGTATAGAGTTACACATGATTGATGGTTGTAAATGAAAAATATGCAAAAACGAAGTTATACTTTTTAATGTTTCTCTTCAATGGTTTTTATCTGTCTAAAGTCTAAACCTCTAAACTCTAAATCTAAACGTAGGTTGGGCCAAGGAAAGAGATTTTTCTAAAAGCACGTATATGTACTACATATGGAGGGGTTAAAGCCATAGTGGTGTAAGTCCCTTTTTTTAACCTATCGAATTAAGTTCATAGATGCAGTCTACACATGCAGATATGTTGAAAAAAGAAGAAAAAAAGTGGTAAAAAAAATGACTTACACCACTATGACTTTAACCCCTCCATATATAGGTACATGTACATAAATATGTATATAATTTTTTGCTTACATTATGCACTTACGTTGTAATATCAAATAATCACGCGAATCAAATGATATGTAACTCTCTTCTGTAAGGCGTTTAAATGTCATTAAAGTAACAAGGAATTCTTGCGCTGTGTGTTTCTAGGTCATGCGTGGCATTTAGTGGAAAAAACCGAATACTCGGAGTAGCAGCTAAGAACCAAATGGTGACCAATTTGAAGAACACTATCCATGGTTTTAAAAGATTATTAGGTAGGAAATACAATGATCCACAAGTTCAATACGAGTTGCGGTTTCTTCCATATAAAATAACTCCGCAAGCTGATGGAAGCATCAATATACACGTAAGTGTCGACGTCAAGTGTATTATAGAAAAGAATGGTTTTTCTGATTTTCTTTTTTACTTCAACGCTGCTTCTAAGATCAACCAAGATTTATCTTTGTAAATCATAATGGGAAATAAAAAAATTAACCATCCTTCCTACAAAATAGTCATAAATAGAGCTTTGATTCTCGTTCTTTTATAATATGCGATACGTCCATATACAAGAAGGGAAAAAAAGAAGAACATAAACATTTTTGTGCAACAGAAATTTGTTTGAGTAATGTTTTCAATTGCTGCAACTTCTTTTGCGAGTAATTCAATGAGTAATGACTAAGAATCGAAAGTAATTTAGGCATTTTGCCAGGACTCTCTCATTTCTGAAAAGAGACTCGTATCTTATTTATATCTTTTATTATAAGGATACTACGATGATTCATTGCAGATAATGTTGTTTATATATTTCGTGAAAATACACCCTATCAAAAATTATATTTTCATAATATTTCATGATTTGTTTACATTGCTAAAAATTATTTTAATATACTCATCTCTTTTTTTTTCTCCGTATTTCAGGTACAATATCTAGGAGAAGAACATGTCTTTTCACCGGAGCAAATTACCGCTATGCTCTTTACAAAATTGAAAGAGATTTCTGAAACAGCGCTACAAACTGCTGTTAATGATTGTGTCATATCAATTCCTTCATATTCTACTCAAGCTGAACGTCAAGCTCTGCTTGACGCTGCTAGAATTGCAGGCCTTAATGTTCTAAGATTATTTAACGAGACCACTGCTACTGCTCTTTGTTATGGTATTTATAAGCAAGATTTGCCAGCACCAGAGGCACCTCCTAGAAACATTGTTTTTGTGGATTGCGGTAACGCCAGCTTGCAAGTGAGCGTTTGTGCCTTTCATAAAGGTAAACTTAAGGTCAGTATTGCAAAAAATCTGTTACAATAAGATTGAAATTGTTATCCTACGTTCCAAAACGTTTAACTACATTACTTTTATTTTATTATATTAAAGATGTTGGCGAGTACTGCTGATAATC